TAGTATCTTTAAACAAATTTTCAGACAATTCTAAAATGTCAAGGTTAATTAGTGTCCGGTTTGTAAAAGAATGACCCATATGCATATGACTTGGCGCTAGTGATCAAATGAATCTCCAGAGATGACCAGGAAAGAACTGTATTAAATAATAAAGCATGCCGTACTACGGCAAGCAATGCGCTCCAAACAATAAACGGCAAAATGCCACTTGACTTGGAGATTATACAGCAAGAAATCTAAAAATGATCCCATCTAAATATTTAAAAATACTGTTGAATCTCCATGCCTTCGAGAACAAGGTTTACTTCCCAGGTTCGGAATTACCGAACCGAATTCACCAAAACGCGAGACATTTTCTCTCATGTTAAAAAAAAAACAAATTTAAGAACGCAAATTACAGATGCACATTAATTTAAAGCATCAATTAAAACTGTGTGTTACAAAGCTAAAGCCAAATATACAATTACTGTCAAAAATAAAACAAAGTCTAACTTAGTGAATAAACATTAATTTTTGCATTTTTTGTATATTCTATATGCATATTACTTTCCTTCGGTCTATCTATGATATAATGATCAATGTTTTTTCTTAATATTATATATTGTTTTTCTAAATGAGCTGCAATCTGCAAGCGATTAGCAAACTTATGATGAAATCGAGAGCCAAGATGATCGCAATGAAAATTCCAATGTACCAAAGGAAAAATCTACCTGCGACATTTCAGTCTGTCCTGAAGACTAACTCACAACACCTGGCCAATCATGAACTGCAAGAATTTTAGGATAGTGCATGTGCATTAGGATTACTGGGAATACCACGAAAAAAAGCGTCGTAACGATTTAAACATCTTTAGAAACAATTATTGAGGCAGGAGACAAAACGTACATCCAAAACGTCCAATAAAAAATTGGGTTTGCTTTACATTGCTTTTCATTAAAACCTTGAAGCTTTTTGTACCATAAACATAATCTGAAATATGTATTTAATTTACAGAAATTTGTGAAATAGCTTATAAAGTCATCGAAACGTGCACGTGGATGTTACTTTTTCTAAAATTTATATATTGTTTAGATAAAAATTAACGTATTCGACTAGAGTTTATATGAGGCAAGCAACGACATAAAAAGTCAAACTTCACTTTCGCGATGTGCAGTATCATATATGGGCAAAAATAAATCTTATGTGACGTTACATTTGTTAATTATATTAATAAACAGACAAAAGAACAAAAGAACTATAATCACTAATTATATTATATTACATTAAAATTACCACATTGAAATATTTAAATTGTGAAATTTTTTGTATGTATTGTTGATTAGTATTTGTGTGTTGGTAGTTTTTGATTTATAACGTGTTACATTGTGTTGCTCATTGAATATATAAAATTAGTTAAATGTTAATTATTGCATCAGTAATTCCAATTATCAATTGTCGAGTGATTACGAATGCATTTTATTCAATATTACTTTTTCTTTATCTAACATCCATGCTGCATGATATTCTCAACTTGCTTCGTGTATTAATTTCACAAATTTGGTAATATATATATTAGACAAAAGAGAAATTTGTTGAAGATTGAAAAGAACTTGTACCAGAAATCAGGCAAGTCAGGTCAAAAAATTTTGTCATCACGATTGAGTTGGACAAATCTATCTTCACTACCTTGAATAATAATTTCTGAAAGTCTTAAAATATCTTCGTTTGACAATAAATTATACTTGATCCATAAAAAAAGTTCTGTATCTTGACTTCTTGTTAAGAAGTCCGTGCAAATTAAAAATATCCTTCTGATTGATTATATATGGAGGTGATGGAAGGTCAATCAATGCGTTTGATATGCTACTATTCATTGTGATGACATTTTTTCCACATACCTCAAAATACCATTTCATTTGATATATTGTATTGATCGAAGATGGTAAACAATCTCTGATGTTCAATAAAAAATATATTATTCAGAATAAGAACCCGCCTGAAATTCTAGACATGTGCACTACGCCTATAGTCAATATAACAAACACAGAGCGGTGTCTTCCTATTTGATTGAAAACTATTTTCATAATCACAAGGATAAAGAGATCCCTTAAATATCTTGGACTGTAATGAAAGCTTACAAAGATTACATATGTATAAAAGAATGTTTTACAAATAATAGGGCACATCCAAGCGAATAAATCATTGCTATCATAATGATCATTACAAATCAAGATTTTTCTTTATATCGTCATAGCTGAATGGGTATTCATGAACAAATAGTCCAACAAAACTCTAATGAACTTCTCATTTGATCACATCTCATTAGATTTATAAATCAATTAAAATACATATTAATTTCAAATTGTGCGGAAAACACCTTGCATTACGCACTACATCATCATATGTACAAATTTGAATTAATATTGATTCCTTCCATGACATTTTTTATTCATATAGAAGCATATATGAATAACAAACTCATATTAATTCATGTAGAAGCACCATCAGCTTTATACCATATTCATATCGTTTTTCATTTTGAAATAAATGTGTCATTATAAATATGAAGCATTTTGCTTACTACTGTCAAACAATTTAATAGATTAAATATTTAAATTGTGTAATGTCCAGTTCTTTTTATCTAATTGCAATTAAATCGCAATTTGATATTTCTATATTATTAGCCCTTTTTAGTATTATCCATCATTCATCAGTAATTGTTATTAAAATTAATATTATTGTATCTATTTTTGACATAACTGCTGTAGTATAATTAATAACACTGTTTTCACTTTAATTAACTAGTCCATTATAATTTGTTTCACCATAACATCTCATGTTAGTAATATTTTGGAATTTGTTGTTGTTGTTATTTAATTAAACGTTGTTGTTTGCATTCAACAATTAAATTTTGTTCCAAATCTCATGCCTTTTAATAATTTTACATATTCAAAGACCATATATACACATCTTGAAACAAAAATTACAATTCGAGAAAACTACCGACACTTTACGATTAACAACACAATACATAATTTGAACATTTTGGCAAATTGTACTTGAACTAATTTACAACACATTTTTAGATTTATTTTTGCTCAACAAGAAACTCATGAACAATTAAAAATCAATACGTTCATATAGTAGCACATGAAATTAAACGATTTAATAATTAATTATTTATTAGGAAATATTTGTCGCTCGCAAACCATTTTCGAGGAAAGGTTATGCTTTTTATGTGGTGGTCTGCCTTGCAAAACTCTAAATCGATATACAATATTATTTAAATCTAACATTTAAATAAATTTTACTGGTTAATATATTTCAGGTTTTGTTTTCCATACAATTTTTCATTTTCTTTTGTATAAAAATGTATAATTTAACATTTTTGGTACATGATTTGGCGCCTCCTCAAAAATTGCATTTCACTTAAGATCTTTAATTGTTCTTCTCCAAAAAACTCGAACATTATGGATTAAAAAATTGCATATAATTAAGTTTTGAAACGAGAATCGCGCTTCTGATAAAAACATTTGTAAGTTTTTGGTATTTAATTATAGTTCTATCTTGCTGTGATTATTGCTATGTTATATTTATAATTGGAGTATTTAAGGAGTGTACTAATTAATTATTGTTCTTCTGCAAGATATGATGTTCGAATTTATTATTGTTCGTTTAATTCTTTTTGAAGTATAATTCAGACTCATTTAGTTTTTCACTAAGATGCTTTGTTACGAAGTAATAATCTCCTGACAAGTTTTTATTTGAGTTTTGTGTAGTAATTACTTGTGTGTCACTCAAATTGGGACTCGAAACTTATGGATCTAATAAATTTATTTTAAGAAACATATCTTAGTTTTCTTTCTATTAATTATTTGCATAGATGACCGCTAAAAAGTTTTTTGTATTGACTATAGATTAATTTCTTGAAAGGCGTAACATCAAGTAAAAATAAATATAAGTAAAGAGTAAAAGTAAAGATAAATAAAGTATAATAAAAATAAAAGTAAAAAAATTTAAAATATATTTATTAACTTCCAGTAATGGGAATCGCAAAAAAATCGAAAATGAAAATGTTTATATATCTTTCGTTTCAAAGGTTTCTGAATATTTTGGCATACCTTAGAAAAAATTGATGTGCATGTGTGTGTGTGTGCAGATACAAATTTTCGTCGTCGATTTTGGGAACACCGATCAACCGATTTGAATAATTCAAAAAACATTCGATTCCTATTGATAAGGAGACGTGCTGATTAGTTTTTGGCGAAGGCAGGTCTAGCCGTTCCGAATATATGGGGCAAAAAGTGCCAAAAACGGTAACTCAGTTTTTAAGAGAACGGAGCTTCCGATTTTAATAATTCAAAAAACATTTTACTTGCATTGACAAGATGAAGAATTGGTCATGAAGGCAGGTCTAGCGGTTTCGGAGATCTAATGAAAAAAGTAAAATGCCATTTGGCGGTCAAAATTGATCATTAGACATATGCACATCAAATTTTCAGATATTTTATAGAGATTTTAACAATAAGTATAAATTTTGTTTACATTCCTATGGGTTCCATACCAATGTTCATCCGTTAGACGGCGACGCGGCGCTTACGCGCTTTGACATTTCGTCTCTATGCAGTTAAAGCAGTACGATTGCTTTGAAAAAAAGTTCAGAAATTCCAAAATATGTTAAAATAAAGAAAACATTTTTTTAAAAAAAAAAAAAACTTTTTTCAAAAAAAGTCATTTTTTGTTTCTCAAAAATTTAATTCATTTCAAGTAATTTTTTTTCAAAAATGTTAATCGTTTTTTTAAAAAATAGTAATTTTTGGTACGGAAAGGTCTAGCAATTTGCCTTAAGGCACGATGCCATGCGCCCCACTAGTTTCTCCATACGTTTCGATGTAAAATTCTACATCATTAGTGGTTCTACAATTTTGAAATAAACAGAAAAAGAACGTTAAAACTAAATACAAACAGAGCAAAAAATTGCGGAATACAGAAAATTAGAAGCTGAAGGTGTCAAATCAAGAATGGAGCGATTACGTGGCGATAGTCTTCAAGCGGAAGAAATAGAATACTCATCTTTAAGACATGCTGATAATTTCTCCCGAGTGGAAAATGAACAAAATAGGGAACGAATGGCTATTAACAGAAAAAATGATAAAAACTATAAAAATAATGAAAAAAGGCAAATAAAATTCGTATGCAGAAATATAGAACAAATGAGGGTTTGAGAATGAATACATGTTACGAAGACATAAGGATAACGTTTTTCGAGAACAAAGAATAAATGAGTTACGAATGAAATTCATCAGACATAAAAACAAATAGGAAATATTAACAATATTGATCGTGTTAGAACACTCCGTCAAGATGATGCATTTAAGCGATTAGAAAGTAATAAAAATATTGAACGTAATAGACAACTCCGTCAGGATGATGCATATAAGCAACTAGAAAGTAATAAAAATATTGAACGTAATAGACAACTCCGTTAAGATGATGCATATAAGCAATTAGAAAGTATTAAATATATTGAACGTTAGAGATTTACAAGATGATGCATATAAGCAATTACAAACTAATAAAAATATTGAAAGTAAGAGAGAACTCCGTCAAGATGATGCATATAAGCAAAGTATTAAAAATATTGATCGTACTAGAACACTCTGTCAAGATGATGCATTTAAGCAATTAGAAAGTAATAAAAATATTGAAAGTAAGAATGAATACATGTTACGAAGACATAAGGATAACGTTTTTCGAGAACAAAGAATAAATGAGTTACGAATGAAATTCATCAGACATAAAAACAAATAGGAAATATTAACAATATTGATCGTGTTAGAACACTCCGTCAAGATGATGCATTTAAGCGATTAGAAAGTAATAAAAATATTGAACGTAATAGACAACTCCGTCAGGATGATGCATATAAGCAATTAGAAAGTAATAAAAATATTGAAAGTAAGAGAGAACTCCGTCAAGATGATGCATATAAGCAAAGTATTAAAAATATTGATCGTACTAGAACACTCCGTCAAGATGATGCATTTAAGCAATTAGAAAGTAATAAAAATATTGAACGTAATAGACAACTCTGTCAAGATGATGCATATAAGCAATTACAAAGTAATAAAAAAATTGAACGTAATAGACAACTCCGTCAAGATGATGCATATAAGCAATTAGAAAGTAATAAAAATATTGAACGTGATAGAGAACTCCGCCAAGATGATGCATATAAGCAATTAGAAAGTAATAAAAATATTGAACGTAATAGAAAACTCCGACTATGATGCATATAAGCAAGAAAGTAATAAAAATATTGAACGTAATAGACAACTCCGTCAAGATGATGCATATAAGCAATTAGAAAGTAATAAAAATATTGAACGTAATAGACAACTCCGTCAAGATGATGCATATAAGCAATCAGAAAGTAATAAAAATATTGAACGCAATAGACAACTCCGTCAGGATGATGCATATAAGCAACTAGAAAGTAATAAAAATATTGAACTTAATACACAACTTCGTTAAGATGATACATATAAGCAATTAGAAAGTAATAAAAATATTGAACGTAATAGACAACTCTGTCAAGATGATGCATATAAGCAATTAGAAAGTAATAAAAAAATTGAACGTAATAGACAACTCCGTCAAGATGATGCATATAAGCAATTAGAAAGTAATAAAAATATTGAACGTGATAGAGAACTCCGCCAAGATGATGCATATAAGCAATTAGAAAGTAATAAAAATATTGAACGTAATAGAAAACTCCGACTATGATGCATATAAGCAAGAAAGTAATAAAAATATTGAACGTAATAGACAACTCCGTCAAGATGATGCATATAAGCAATTAGAAAGTAATAAAAATATTGAACGTGATAGAGAACTCCGCCAAGATGATGCATATAAGCAATTAGAAAGTAATAAAAATATTGAACGCAATAGACAACTCCGTCAGGATGATGCATATAAGCAACTAGAAAGTAATAAAAATATTGAACTTAATACACAACTTCGTTAAGATGATACATATAAGCAATTAGAAAGTAATAAAAATATTGAACGTAATAGACAACTCTGTCAAGATGATGCATATAAGCAATTAGAAAGTAATAAAAAAATTGAACGTAATAGACAACTCCGTCAAGATGATGCATATAAGCAATTAGAAAGTAATAAAAATATTGAACGTGATAGAGAACTCCGCCAAGATGATGCATATAAGTAATTAGAAAGTAATAAAAATATTGAACGTAATAGAAAACTCCGACTATGATGCATATAAGCAATTAGAAAGTAATAAAAATATTGAACGTAATAGACAACTCCGTCAAGATGGTGCATATAAGCAATTAGAAAGTAATAAAAATATTGAACGTAATAGACAACTCCGTCAAGATGATGCATATAAGCAATTAGAAAGTAATAAAAATATTGAACGTAATAGAAAACTCCGTCAGGTTGATGCATATAGGCAATTAGAAATTAATAAAAATATTGAACGCAATAGATAATTCCGTCAAGATGATGAATATAAGCGATTAGAAATATTGATCGTGTTAGAACACTCCGTCAGGATGATGCATTTAACCAATTAGGAAGTAATAAACATATTGAACGTAATAGAGAACTTCGTCAAGATGATAGGTATAAATCGAAAGAGCGCAAACATAATATTTTACGAAATAAATTATTACGACTAAATAGTAGGTATAAATCAAGCGAGAACGTTAAAAACATCAAGAGCATGAGAATAAATCGTAATATATCGCACTATAGTAAAATTGAAAAATTTAAAAATATCAATCGAGTTAGGAGGATACGTACCAATAAAGTCACGTATAAAAATGAATTAAAGAATAATGCCGAAACTAAAATGAATAATAAGGAAATAGATTTAATTAAGTATCGAGAAAATAATATAATCGATTATCGAATGACGAAAATTGTGATCCATTTATCCATTATGTGATGATGCATTGAAATATTCAATAACGACACCCTTATATCTAAAATATAACGTGCAGGAGATCTTGTCGAAGATGAATTAACTAAACCAACCACTCATAACAATGATGACTCTGTTCCTAATTCACTAATATATTCCGAAGTTGAACAAATTCCACCAATTGATTTTAGCCAAATTAATAATGAGGAGGTATTACTTAGCTGCAATTAAAGTTCATAGAGTTTAGAGCAGAAACTCCTTCCTATATTTGCTGTTGGGCTCGCTCGTAGGTAAGCGGTTAAGAGCGACGGGTCTTGTTTCAGAGGTCCCGGGTTCGATACCCACTACGAGCAGCTTGTTGTCAGGCAACAGTGACAACGATTTTCACTTGGAAATATAAATAGCTATATGTTTCCAATTGAAAATAGCCCTCAGCCGGCATTGTTGCACCATACTTGCCCTACTACAGAGATTGTAATAAAAATTTATCATACCGAGACAACTGTTTGGGTTGCCATATGTAATAAAACAAACGTAATTTGTAAGATATTAATCACAACAGTTCATAGAATCAATAAGTTCTGATCGCTGTTCAAATAAAATTATAATATATATATATATATATATATATATATATATATATATATTTGCTGTTGTTGCGAAAGACTTTTTTTAAAACATTCAGGTACAAAACTTAGGTACTCAATAAAAACGCACTTATTCATAAAAGTCACGCTACTAATAATAAAATAAATGTCGGGAACGCAATACTAAATGTGGAAAAGTTCATGTCGCGCATATATAATTTTCCTAGCAAATGGATATGCAATACTTATAAATTAGCAACAAGCAATGATATGAAATTAGCAAGATTTATAAATTAGCAACAAGCAATGATTTAAAATTTCAAAATATACCCGAATGTTTAAAACAATTAACCGATTTAGAGGAAAGAATGATAGCACATATACTAAATTTTATGCAAATTCAAGCCCTGAAGCCTTATGCTTTAAATCCCCAATTAGGTTTTAAGGGTAGCGTAGTTAATATTTCAATACAGATTAATAATATTTTAAATGTTTCAACAAGGTTTCTTGATTAAATTAATCAAATGAAAACCATTCAAATTAAATTAAACCGAAATGTTAGTCATAAAAGCGATTATATGTTCAAATCAGTACGACGGGGCTTAGTATGTGATGCATTGAAATATTTAATAACGACACCCTTATATCTGAAATATAACGTGCAGGTAGATCAAAAATATCTAGATAGTCACGAATACGACCTTAAAAATATTGATTTTATTGTAGATGAATTAACTGAACCAACCATGGCCGGTAATCTCCGAACAAACATCTGTAATCTTGTTTTTAATTCCGTTTCCCTCGATTGGAGCGCATCAGGTAAGACGTTGTACAAGGGCAATACGAGAATGTTCGAGAACGTAATCGAAGTTGAGTTCGTTCGTAGTTCGTTGGTTCGTTGAATGTAGTTGTGTTACGAGAGATTTGTGTATTTTAGTCAAATTTGAATTAAGCAAGTATAATGTCGAAGTCTAGTGTACCACAGTGCAAGAACACAAAAAATAATGCTAAAATGCACGTATTTCCGGCGAGAAATGATAAGGTACGAAAACATTAATATAATAACCAAACTTTGGTAGCAAATAAATATGTTTTTGAATGTTATAGATGTTCTCAATTTGGTTGGAAGAACCAAAAATCCTTTAGAAAAAGTAACACCGTATCATTGTAATAGGTGCAGGAACACAAAAAATAATGCTAAAATGCACGTATTTCCGGCGAAAAATGATAAGGTACGAAAATATTAATATATGTAATAACCAAACTTTGGTAGCAAATTAATGTTTTTGAATGTTATAGATGTTCTCAATTTGGTTGGAAAGAACCAAGAATCCTTCTTTAGAGAAAATCATTGTATAAAATAATTGTATCATTGTAATAAATCTCGGTACGTGTGTGAAATATAAGAAAAAATGGAAAAGTGGACTAAAGAACAAATTGAATTATTAATTGATTATTTTAAGGGGGGCGATACATGTAATCGCCTTAATTTTTACCATTTTTTGAGGACTTTTTAAACTGGGAAGGAATGATTGAATCTTTTTGAACTTTTTTAGGGTTATTTATTATATATTAAAATACACAAAAAAAATTTTTTTTTATTTTTTTTCTTTTTAAATGGCTGCCGTAAAAATAAATCTGCCAAGACCCTCTCGGGAAACGCCATCAATTTGCGGGCGTTCTCACTTTTCGTACGGTGATCTGAATTTAAAAAAATTAGTTTGTACGTGTTCATAAAACATATATCTTCTAGTTAAACCAAAAAAAAATTAAAAAAGTCACAAAATCGTAAATTGGCACACCTTAGAAAAAAAAAGTTCGATTTTTCACCTTTTTTTCAATGGTTTTTTTGGTAAAAGGGTTAATTTTTGAAACATTTTTTGGAATGTTTGAGGTTTAACTAGAAGCTATTACTGTAAAGTAGATGTGTGCAAAATTTCATTGGAATCGGTTGAGAACTTTTTGAGTTATCCCGCCCGCAAGTTTCAAAAATGTCGTTTTGAGAAAAACGCGTTTAAAGTTTTGACACATAGAACAGATAAGAGTTGAGGCGTGGCACTTAAATGAATTTTTATTGTATAAATAATGATAATTTTGTTTTGAATATTTACAGGCATATTTTTGAGATGTTATTGTAACGATTTATGAAAAAAAAAAAACGATTTTTTTTTTCTTGTTACATGTATCGCCCCCCTTAAGGGGCGGCTTTGTTTATATGCCTGTAACTTGCCGGTATATCACAATAAGCATCTTCGAAGAGATGCGTTGGAACGGGTGTTTCAAAAGGTTTCAAAGATAAGGGTAAATAGTTCTGCGGGCGAGTGCCAGAAAAAAATTAAGAATTTGAGAAATCAGTTCAATATTGAAAATTGTAAAGTGAAACAGTCATTGAAGGGTGGTATTGAAACTGATAACGTATTATTTTTATTTTTTAGTTAATAATTGCATTTAATAAAAGAATAAATCCCTAACTAAACTTTAAAATTACTTTCAGGTTTATAAACCAAGCCTTTGATATTTCAATAGTTTACAGTTTCTGGAGACATATGTGACCCCGCGGAAAAGTCGAAACGATTTTGAACTTTTGGTTCAGCTTCAAGAATCACAGAGTTCGGTAAGTGCACTTACTACTAATAGCAGAATATCTAACACTTGATAATAAATTAAATGAGCTTAATGTTGAAGTTGAAGTGCATATTTTTCTCTTCATTTTAGAATACAAAATTAATGCTATTTTTAGAGCAATGCTACAGAATGCATATCGTCTGAAATGGAATATCCCATAAAGGTCGATTATGATGTTACCACATTTACCGAAGTGGATGATACACCACCATCTCCAGATTAACAAGAAACACCAGCTAAACGTAGAAAGAGAAATAAGCGGGACATCGAATCTGAAACAGCTTTCAAAGTCCTGAAAAAGCTGACAGAAACTTTGAAGGCTCCTCTTCCTGAACCCACTGAACAATATATGTACATAATATCCGAACATTTAGACAAACTACTAAAATCATTCACAAATGTAGAATTGCACCGAGCAATTCTATTGAAGATTGAGGGTGTTATATTGTAAAGTAAGCAACAGAATCTTCTAAGCTACGAAGACTACAAAATTTGATGCATCTTATGTCATCAACAAGTCTTATCTAAACGAACGCATTCATTTTATATTGGCAACAACAATTTATTTTACAATTACTGACAATTTTATTTGTACATGATCGATGACATCGAACAAATATTTATAGGTATGGCACAATGTACAATAAACTAACTCAAAATGTTTGCTTATCATGCTCTATTCGACTTAAAGAGTTTTATATTTATTATATAAAATTTTACCTCAATTTTGTGAAATGTTTGGTTATCTCATATCCTCACCATCTCATAAAGTCTCACTAATAATAGACTCAAATTTTATATGAATGTCTCCACCTCCTTAACAAAAATATATAAGGAATTTCTCGATATCATGTGCAAAACTGAAGAGAGCATGTCGAATGTTATCAAATCCATTTTTTACTGTCCGGGTTTTCTAATTATATAATGGACAGGTATATCCCAAGTTTGCCACTGTGGTCTGGGTTGATGCTCGACAATGAGAGATCACATTAGCATTCGAATGCTGCTGTAGAGTGTTATTTTAATACCCCTCAAATAGATGTTTGACAAGCCAAAAGAGTTCCAAATCTGACTCAGAGCTTTCAATAGGCACGCATCCTAATCATGCAGTAATAGATTTCAATTTTTATATAATACCCTACATCTACAATAGAACAAAATAAGAACCACACCGTGCACGACAAAAAGTGGTTAGATGATATAATTATTGATTCTTATTTAGCATCGCTTGAATGTACTGAAGAATAATTTAAAATTCTCGGCGGGCATGAATATAGTATTGGCCTAGTAGATAAAAATAGTAACAGAGTTATAAATATATCATCAGGTATAAAATATTCAGCACCATATAATTTCTATTCTCATTGGATTTTAGTCTTAATAGATTCTAGTATAAAACAATTCAGCGTAATCAATTCTATTCCCAATGAAATGACAGAGTCTATTATTTTTAAAAACTTTTGCGATAATTAACTTTTGGAGAACAAATGAAATGAAGTAAGTATACAATATTTTCCCCTAAAAACTGATAATCATAGTTGTGGAGTTTTCATATTATAAAAAGCTAAATTAAATAATGCTAATTTTAACTATGAAATGGATCCTATCGAAACCAGATAAAGTTTTGTGTAATTTTTCTTAAAAAAATATTTCACCTGTCGATGAAATCTGTCCAATTTGTAGCAGTTCAAATAGCCCTCCCGACAGACCGACCGACATATTATTAATGTTTTAAATGCGATACATGGTATAGACATGCAAGAAATTCTCAAGACTCATTTATTAGTTGCAAAATCAACTGTAATACGGAATTAATGCCATCCAGCACTTCTTGGCAAGAATGTGGAATGTGTTTAAGATGGACTCACTTTGAGTGGGATCCCAGTCTACTTTCACGTTCCTTAACGTCCCAATTGAAAAAAAAAATCGAAAATGTAACGATTTTTCTAGATACTAACCAATACAAGTTAGGTTATTCATATTCTATCAATTATTTTATAAATTTTCGCCATGAATATAGATTTTTTTGTCGAGAATACCAGATAACATTTACCACTCGCGGCTCTTTTTATCGGCACATAGACAGAAACGTAGTAGGAAGTAAAACCAGAGCAGACCAATATCTTCTCATTGTTCAACCCTTAAAACCTGGACTGGACTCTATCCACTAACGCTACGCCTTTTCTATTATAATAATTATTATATTTTATATTTATTATATAATTCTATTCTAACCCCCTAGGATAAATGACCACCTAGATTTTGGGATCCAAATTTCTGGCATAATAATTATATGGGACCCAGGAGGTTTCACCGGGAGGAATAGAGAGAACCGATGGCTCATGATGTACAAAGTATTAATAGAGAAAGAAAAAGTTAATAAATTCAAATCAAAATGTTCTTAGTTTTAAATGTTCTTAGTACAAACCACACACACACACACATATATATTTTAGGTTGTCAAATATCTCCCTTCCGCTTTTTGCACTTGGTTTATAATACAAAAAGGCGGAAAGCGAGGATATTTGACAACCTTATATATATATATATAT